CATGCTTCGGCAGTTAGTTGGAGATTCGTGTCCAGATGTGCTGGTCGAACTCTCTGCCCGAAGGCAGAGAGGAACTCAGACGAGGCTATGCCGAAGGGCAAAGTCTTGGCTGGTGTGATAGACAGCTACCCCATCCAATGTATACGGGGTCTACGGGGAATTTTTGCCCGGGCCTACGGGCTCAGTTTTTCCCCCGCATTAAAAAGCGGCCTTGTGCCACATTCTGCCTCGCGAGGAGGTAAGGTAAATAACCTTGCTTTGGCAATTAGTTAGAGATTCGTCTCCAGCTGTGCTGGTCGAACTCTCTGTCTGAAGACAGAGAGAAACCCAGAGGAGGCTATGCAGAAGGGCAGAGTCTCGTTTGGGGTGGTAGACAGGTGCCTGACCCCGTGTATACGGTGTCTACAGGGAATTTTTGCCAGAGCTTACGGGCTCAGCCTTGCCCCACATTAAAAACGGCCTTGTGCCACATCCTGCTTCGCGGGGAGGTAAGGTAAATAACCTTGTTTCAGGAATTGCTAGCCTGCTACATGATTCCCTGTCTTTCAGTAGTGTCTTCTCTTTTATGATAAATCTCTCTTTCTTTGATCTATCTATTGTTCCATCGCTCGAGTACCACCTTTGTCTGTTTGTAACGTTTTTAAGGATGCAACTTATACAGTTGGCTGTTTAAACATTACTGAACTAGTATCGCGCCGTTCATGTGATATTGAGAAAAAAACTTACCCAAGTGAAGCCTATTCTATATACAATATCCTTACCCCTATACTAAATTTGCTATAAGTAATTTATTTACCGAGATCTTTGAAGTCCTTAGCATTTAATATTTATTTCCCCATTCTGAATTTTTATGATGAATTCAAAGAACGTGGCATCAAGGATTAAGTTTTGTTGTGACCAAGTAATTGGTTAAGGTATAACAAAACAAGAGGTTGTAGATAAATAGTGTATTGAGCAGTAAATAAAACAGAAGTGAGTTACACGACTTGGGAGTGTGTTTCGGTTGACCAACGTTCAGTCTATATCACTATTATATTTAGCATCCCCCCACGAGGGTACATTTGGTACATGTGGAGTTTAACGTGAGTCATCCGAGTCCGTAGGCTCGGCAAAAAAATCCCTTAGAATCCGTATAAACTAGTTCGGGTCTGTCTACCTCTCCGGACGAGACTCTGCCCTTTCAGCACAGTCTTGCCCGGTTTCCCCTCTACCCAAAGCAGAAAGTTCGATAGGAGCTGCGAACAGTCACAGCCTCGGTAGAACAGTCCATATCACTTCCAGCGAAGCTTATAGTAAGCGGAAGAGTCCACACATTAGCCTCATTAGAGAGAAGACACTACAACAGATCATAGTTTCTGGTTAGCAATGGTTTATCTTGACTCCTACTTCTTGGAACGCATGATAGACGATGTTATTTGGCTTTATTCAAGTTCGTTTTTATCCCCAAGACTGGAACCAGGAACGATGCTTTTTATGAATAGATTCGTTTTGGTTGTGCTATGGAATCTTTAAATGATCAGTGCCCATTTATTCACATATCTGCTAATAAACGCACAAAATCTAGAAAATTATTAAATAGATTGCAGCTCTCATTTCCTCCTGGTCGTACTTCTGATGAGGTTTGAATTATTTGGGATTCTGGCCAGACCTAGGCGACTGATACAGTCCCTCTATCAGATCTAGACGTTCAGTTAAGTCTGAGCTTGGAAGGTGCTTCCTTACGGATGAGAAGAGAAAGTCTCTGTTGACCTGGTTATGTGTTGTTCACCAACAAGAACGTCTTTATCTATAAAACATATGTAATCCAAATATTTCTCGGTTCTTCGAAATAAACACTTCAATAGGTAACAGAGGACGGACACCAACTTGTATGGCCTTGTGCCCGATTAAGCAAAATCTGCTAGATAAAAAGAGAATATATTGCAAACAGATTCTCATGGAAGATAATTTAGACGTGGGTGAGGTATTTAAAGCAAGCAGCGATGATTTGCTTTAGTGATGCCATTCTAAAACACAATTGCATTTTTAGATTTTGCAGACGAATAAATTCGGATTTAGAAGAGAAAATCTTATTAGTCTGTTTCCGAAGTCAAATCAGCGAAAACTGATCCATGATAACTCTTTTCCAAAATAATCAACGACGACTTTTAATGAGATGCGTCGCACAATCACTAATGAATTCACAAGACATTGTGTATTTTACAAGAGAAATCGTTCCCAAATGATTTGTCTTATTTATATAAAAAGCTTATTCAAACGCATACATACACACACATAGAAGCATATACACGAATACACACACGCATATATATATATTCAACACCATTATATATATATATATATATATATATATATAAAATCAACATCATCATTTGATGAGACACTAGACAACACACACACACACACACACACACAGACATATATATATATATATATATATATATATATATATATATATATATATATTCAACACCATCAGTTGGTGTTGAAACAAAATGGCTAGTTTTGTAGTAATTTTATAACATATTTATGTTTTAATTTTAGATTAAATTATATATATATATATATATATATATATATATATATATATATATATATATATAGTTAAATTCCCAGATCAATTCTGTGGACAAGACAGATTGTTATAAAGGTAATTTACATTAACCAGAAAAGAAGGCTTAGACAGAAGCGGCTATCTTTTTAAATTTGGATTTTTAATGTAACTATAAAAACAAAATCATTTCGATTTCATTTTTACCTTGAAAAAGTCGGAAGACGAAACGCGTTGGCAAAATCTAAGATTTTTTCCAATTGTCATTTTATACCATATATATATATATATATATATATATATATATATGTGTGTGTGTGTGTGTGTGTGTATATATATATATATATATATATATATATATATATATATGTGTGTGTGTGTGTGTGTGTGTAAAGTGGGCAGTGAAGTCAACAGCCAGAGGCCACTGTCTGTTTCAGCGCAATCGTCAGGCCATACACCTAAAAAATTCGTTTGTCATTATACAGACTGTCTCCTCTACGTGTTGATTTTAATGTCCACTTTTATATTTACATAAGCTCTATCCATATATATATATATATATATATATATATATATATATATATATATATATATATAATAATAAACAATAAAATCCGAAATCACTAGATATGGGGAATAGATTATTTCGGCAAACGTCTGTCTTATCAACATTAGTGTTGAATAAGTTCGTATCAGAAATAAGAATTTAACTGTGAAAGCTAAAGAGAGAAAAAAAAACAGTTGAAAAACTAATACATCATTCATCCATTTCATTGTTTCAGTCAGACGAAAGACACAAGACAGGGGTCAGGGTAGGGTGGAAGGTGTTTCTCTTAAAGGGAAGAAGTTTTATAAAATTAAACTCAAATATTACTCCTATGACGTTAATTTGGGGTTATATAAGATTAAAAGAGGATTAAAAAGGAATTTAAAATATATAGATAAACGGATGTAAGGAAAAAAGGGTTGGGGAGATCTTAGAGTAGGGGGAAGTTTATAAATTATAATTAATGTAGATAAAGAGGTTATAGAGGGGGGGATATAGAAATTAGAATTAGTTATACATTCCACATTTGAAGAGTTGGGGGAAGTGAATATTATGGAAATATAGTAGCTAATTAAGTTTAACTTAACTTTTGAACTGTAGTATATATATATATATATATATATATATATATATATATATATATTCGCAGACAGTACTGTTTCGCTGAATCACAGATCTTTAGTGCGACTAGATATCCGAATGCCTCAAGTCAAGATTGAAACTCAACCGATTTGGTGTCAGTCAGAGTTTCTACCACTGAGCTATCTTCATTTGAGAGGATAAAACAGCTAGATCTAGCGTATTTTTTTTACAAATGTAAACAATGCCAATCAGCCGGAGGGCTCCATTCATTTTACTGAAGAGCTTTGCATTAGCACAGGTGGCTGTTGTTTATTGGCAGCATATTTTCATTGGGACATGTTTCATTGAATAATTTAGACAAATGTTGTCTACTTATTTTCAACTGGATCCTTTCATATTCACGGACAAGCTTTTTAGTGTCATTAAATCACTGTGTTGATAGATATCATTTTATTCCGAGCACTTTTGACATAAAAAAATTGTCATCATCAGAGCGTTCTTTATTTCGAAACAAATATTACAAGGTTTCATCATTTCAAAGACAAAATTGCTGCGTTCATCTGAAAGTAGTTTTTTTTTCTTGTGAAGTGGAGTGAATACTGTAATTTCAAGAAACTACGAGGTTATACGAGTGGTATAACAGACACATTGCGTTGAAAGCGTCCTGCTTTGGTAACAGAAAATGTGCATGTTTACTCTATTTACATTGTTCGAACTGTTGTCCTCATCTTCGTTGCCATATTCACGACGTTTTGGCCGTTGTAAGCTCCGGTTTTCTTCAGGTTTTTAGAATTTTGAACTGAATCGTTTATTTCGTCAGACCGGGGTACAACGGCCAAAACGCCGTGAATATGGTAACGAAGATGTCTGAAAAATGTAAATAGTGTAAATATTTACAATACCTCATCTCAGAAATATAGAGAGATAGAAAATGTGCTACTCACCTGAATGACAATACAAGGCAAAATATATCCCCCCACAATATAATAGCATCGTTAGAGTGGAGCTTCGTCGATATTCTCCATGTCTATTACATTTAGCACATATATTTTCATTTGTTTTAATCTCTAGGACATTTCATGATTTGCAAAACATTGGAATTCAAAGAAGAATCTAAGAGCGGCTTTTTCAACCTAAAACTCCAGATTATATTTTAAACGTTGAATTAAAAAGGTTGCCTTCCTGTTGGGTTGCAGGCGTTGGAAATGAATCTGATTACATTTTTGATAATAAATATTTAAATAAATTTAAATTACATATATTTTTTTTCTGATAAAATGTTATTACCTTCTCAACAACTATATATCTGCTCTTATTTAGTACTCCAATTTTCATACGATCACTGACGTAAAGCAACGTCGAGCCTGATCAGTACCTAGATGGGTGACCGCTTGGGAATACCAAGTGCTGTAAGCTTGAATTTATGGCTGGGGTAACGGATGACAGCTCGGATTTGGAACTCGCCACTCCAACGTCCAATTCCAGACAGGTTCGTTATATTCACTTACGCGCAAATATCGTTAGGAATGGTATGAATCCACTTCTTCTTCCCCCATCTATGGGTTGATTAGTAAGAATTAAATCAATATTATCTCCAAAATATTCTTACAATATAAAAATGTTTACTGTCTTTAAATAACCTGCACAGGGATGATAAGCGGTAAAAAACAAGTCAGTCAATTATTTAGTACTGTTCAGTTTTTATCCGCTCTGTTTTCACTGAATCTAAGTCTGCACTATCCGGCCCAGGGATTGAACTCACAATTCCTATGTCACCAAATTCACGAATTAAGTCTACTACTAGTGAGTTTGAGCCTTACCAGGTGTCTTCTACTTATAACTTTGTGCAAAAGTAAACTAAATTTAGTTAACAAATTCAAATAAAATTCTATTATCAATGAGAAGTAATGATTTATTATTTAATAGCAAGTTTAATTTTCACTTGTTGCTCTATATTCGTGGCCTTGTGCCAAAACCGAGCAAAGCTTACTGAGTAAGAACAGAAAATACATTCTTCATTAATGTTGTTGCATGCGTGTCTTTATGATGGCGTATATGTGATATTAAAGTTTTTGTTTTCCATCTGGCTAAGTGCTGCCATTAACTATAAAGGATGTATGGAATTTATATTTAAAGAATAGATGTTAGTATATTTTGACTCTACACGTGACGAAACGCGAGAAGAGAAAGGTAGAAGAAAAACTTATTCATTCACCGCAAAGATGTCATAGCACTTACGACAGTTCACTTCTAATGTAATGCAGAGATACTACACTGGAGCTGGAATCTACAGAGACCAGCACCATCCGCGTTAGTTTTGGGGCCTGTTTTTTTTTCCTCGTAGATAATTGAATAAAGACTTTTATTCAATTTTCTGCTTCCTTATGTAGGCATATATGACAGGTTGTCGGTCGAATATGTAGCCCTACACATGCGCATGGATAAAGGAAATGATTACCTTGTTGCCGTTGTTTCTGTTCTAAAGGCTCCCTTCGGTAGTTAGTGTGACAGTTACACTCTGCCAATGCCTCATAAACAATGGACTATTCCGTTTTGATCGTGTGGAAAGACGAAATAATTATCAGATACGCGATACGTTCATCCGATCTTAGTGCAATATGGAGGTGCTTTCTCAAAGTTGGAATCTCCAGAGACTAAGATTCGCTCGCTCAAAGCCACTTTTAGCAATTAATCTGAGAAAGTTGTTGACAGTTCAGATATTTCTGAACGGGTTTGGCGACGTGCGTGATATCCATTGAAAGTCTCAATATGACGAGGTTATTTAAGAAAATGATTCAAATTTTTTGAGGTTAATATCTTGGATTTTTAGCAACTTGCGGTGTTGGGTAAAACGACCTCTAGCGTAGACTATTCTATATTCAATTTTCTTACCTCATATACTTTACTGCTATTTAACTCCAGACCGAAGGGAGAAGCGATAATGCCACACTTTTGCCAACGGTATTTATACGAATGGAAGCTCAAGAGACAAGGGCGGAAATTGAAATCGGCTTGCTGAATCTGCTTTCCGTGTCGATAAACCTCACACTAGTCTCGCATTATGACTGTAATATACAGAATCAGAAAACTTTTGTCTTTGAGGGTTTATTTATACATCAAGACACTCTTTACGTGTAAAAAGCACAGTGGGATATTTTAAATTACACATACATTCTAAAAATCTACCGATACGTAAGAGATATCAATAAGAATTTCAGTACTTAAACATTTATGAATGAATTTATTTATGGCAATGAAATTTTGTAAGGAGCCTTGTGATAATTATTTTTAAAGCCAAACTTAACCGCTTTTAGTTCATCTATATATAAAATACTATGACTTCCGTGAATCTTTCCGTCCATCACACCCTCTAAATTTAACGGATTGAAACCAAATTTTGAAGAGAAGTGCAACCAGGTAAGGGGGTACAAAGTAGACTTAGTTTTAGTAAGGGTGCGTAGCTTAGTATAATAAAGTTTTATTAGTCTTTTTTTTTAAATTTAAAAAGTTTTATTATTTAATATGCAAAATACTCCTACTATTTTAAAAACAAGTTACTGATTCATGTAACAAATACCTACTTAATAAAAAATACAATATTGTTTTTTGCATAGCTTTTCTTTACGTTTTTATATATACAAGAATCTAGTTTCCAGCTCGCTCTGACTTGGTGTGAGTGAACTATAAACAAATCACAAGGCCAAACGCTTCAAAAAATTTGGAATTTGGCTCCAGAAAGAAATATTAAGGCATGGCCAGGTGTATGTTGAATGCTCAAGAGTAAGAAATCCTGAGAATTTATTCTTCTTTGTTAAAAATGAAAAAAAGAATTTTTCTTAAAACATTGTTTACCCTGAAATCCAATAAAATTAAATTAAGTTGAAGAAATTATTAAACCGCGAAGTAGGGATTTTGTCAATTTTTTTTCCCAAACAAATCAGTTTATTCAAATTTCATCGATTGGTTTGCCAAATTGAACGAAACGTAGACTTTGTAAATCTCGACAAAAAATGTTAGCGATGACTTCAACAATATTAAATAGTGTGAGGATTTGAGCACTCGTCAGCATGTTGCAAAAAATCAAGAAACTCTAATGAAAAATCATTTGGACATTACAAATATTTGCATTTGAATAAATTTGGTTTTCTAGGGTGAAAAAGAATTATAAATTAAAAAAATTAGCACCCCCTCTTCTTCATGCTCATGTGCAATCACATCAACGTAAAACTCATTTTAGTTTAATGAAATCCTAAAGGATAAAACGCGTCATACAAAATCTTTTTTTACACTTTTTCTTATTGATTTTCCTAATTTGCATAAAGGTAAGAGAAATTAAGTTAGACTACATTTTATTCAAAACTTCATCACGCAATATAAAAGTATGCCCGGGATCAGAAAATAAAGAAAAAAGTAGTAGTAGTAGTAGTATTCGCAAGTTGCTCATAAACAATCTGTGTCCACTATTTACATTAGTTCTCATCTTTGTCGCCATATTTATTAGAACGTTTCTGCCGTTGTACGCTTCGGCCTTCATCAGGTGGTTGGAATGTCGAACTGAAACCTTTATTTCGCACACTCAAGGACAACCAACGCCTTTTTGGGTTTTGTCACTGGATCTAACCGACGCCTTTATCCACTGTGTCATGTATCAAGGACACATGACACAGTGGATAAAGGACACATGACACAGTGGATAAAGGCGTTGGTTAGATCCAGTGACAGGACCCAAAGAGTGTGAGTTCAATACCCGGTTAAGGCAGTGGAGAACTTGTGGAGGGAAATTAACAGGAGATAACTGATAACTGACATCCATTAAAGATGGCACGTGGAACTAGAACAGTCTACCCCAGTGAGCGAAATAAAGGGTTCAGTTCAACATTCCATCCACCCGAAGATAGCCGGAGTGTACAACGGCCGAAACGTTGTAATAAATATGGTGACAAAGATGAGGACAATAGTCCGAATAATGTAAATAGTGTACATAATACCTCATCTCAGAAATATAGACAGATACTGAAGGATCGGATAAATATAGCGACAAAGATGAGGACAATAGTACGAATAATGTAAATAGTGTACATAATACCTCATCTCAGAAGTATAGACAGACACATCTGTGTCCCTCGTAACTTCTTTTTCCTTGTGATGTGTCTATTCAGGACGTTCACGATAATGGCTACAATTACCTGTCCTTAGTAGCTCTTAATAATTTTTTTGTGTTGTTATCTTTCTTAGACCCTGTACTACCAAATATTTACACAAGCTCTCTAGGCAGGTTATGCGTTGTTTTCCTCTGTCGTTTTTGCCTTCAATCTGTCCTGTGAGTATCAAATTATCAAATATCAAACCCTCTTCTTCATTGCGTGCCTGGAAACTTCAGATATCTCTTTCCGGTTCAAAGTATAAGTATCCTTTTTTCCATTTTTCCTCAAATTTCCTCGTTGTTCAGTCCTGGTATTCTCAGTATACTTCTATGGAACCACATGTCTGTTGCTTCAAGTCTCTTCTTCATCTTTGAGAAGATTATCCAGCATTCACTACCATATAGGAGAACTGATATTACACAACAGTTCATTACCCTTTTCTTTGTTTCTAACGAAATTATTCTGTTTTTTAATATATTCTTAGCTTGTGGAAGACACTTTCCAAATTCAGTATCGCACTTTCCGTTGTCTGTTAAAATACTTCCCGGATATTTAAATTATTGTACTTGTTTGATTTTGTCATTTTGTAATATGCATCTTGGGCTGTCCATTTTGCTGACAAACTCTAGTGTAAATAGTGAGCCGCATCCATATTCAAATGACCAAACTGTTATATTATACACATAGAAAGAAAAATGTCTTCTGAAAAAGTATTTTTTAAAAGATTTATTTTAATTTATTTAATTAAATTAATGTGTTTTTTGATTTATTTTAGCATTTATTATTATGCTACGAGGGTGGGCTTAAGAGTTCAAATGCTGACTGTAAAGAATTAATTTTCACTGTTGTTATTAATAACTGCATTGTTTCTTTCCAGTTCAACTCATTGTTCAACGAAGACTTCAAAAGTAACTCCTAGCGATATCTCTTGAAAATGGACAACATTTGGAGTGCTATTACATGTTTGCACCAACCTCCATTGTTTTGTATCATTCAGCAATGGGTTACCCCAGGTACTATAGTCTGGAAACAGTTCTTTTTGTTATTGTTAATTATAATACTTAAATTTAAATTAAAATATAAATCTCGAAAAAAAAAATCAGTGTTTGTAAAACCCTAACCCTAGCCAACGGTGGAGGGGGAGACGAAAGTGTAATAGCGCCAAATTTGGCATCGTGGTGTTGTTGTCTATATGGGTGCTACTTGAAAGGATGAGGCTTCAGCTTTATCAACAGAGCAATACTGGGCAGATGAATTTAGGCGGAAAGGG